AAGAATAGGTCGAGGGTAAACCTGAGCCCTAACTTCTACTCCCTTTCGTTTAATGTATAAATTTGTACAAATTGTATCCAATTATATATTTTGAAATAAAGGAATAGAGGAAAGACCTCTCTTAAAAAAAAAAAAAAAAAAAGATTAATATGTAATGAATTAATTTAGTGAAACAATGATGAATAAAATTAATGATATTACCCTTCTTAGCACGTTGTCTGCTGAACCTAATATTATATAATTATTGATAACAAAACGAACAGAAAAAATTTCTCCAAATAAGAGACAGTATCATAATTAATCAAACCTTGTCATTGTTTCTTTTATAGTACAGCGCAAAATATCGCTCTAATCCTTCAAAAATTATAAAAGAAACGATTTAATTAGTAAAAAAAAATAAAAAAAAATAAAAAAACTAAAAGCAATAAACCTATAACATAACTTGATTTAGTTCTAAAATGTCTGATTATTACACCACCTCTGAAGAAGAATTTGATCCTAATGATGATTTTATTTCTGGAGAAGAGAAAGTTGATTCACCTAATAGTGTAGTAAACAGAGAAAATATTACCACCATTGTATTGCCACCACAAGAAGTCTTATCAGACGGTTTGAGTGTAAATCACAGTAAAAATAAAACATCGCCCGTATGGAATTTTATGAGTGAGCAAATGGAAGGAGATAAGGTTATTGCGAGGATATGTGGAAAATGCGAGCAAAAATTTAGCCCTACAACAACTACTGGAGTTTTAGGTAACCATCTCAGTAATAAGCATGGTATAGAACTTGTCCTGAAGAGAAATAGCTTAATCCAAAGACCCTATGGTAAAGGAGATGTTCGATGCAAGAAAGAGTGTTTCGATGCTGTTTTGAATCTTGTAGTTTGCTGTCAGCTTCCATTTGCGATCATTGAAAATTCCTGGTTTCAACAAATGGTAACCATATTTGATCCAAGGTATAAACTCCCATCACGTCAGTATATAAAGAAAGAGATAATGCATTGGTTTAAAACTCGATATGAGCTTGTTGCTAAAGAACTCGGAAGTCTCACCAGTAAAGTCACGCTCACTGCGGACATATGGATATCGATCTCAAATCAGGCCTACCTTGGTGTTACCGCTCATTTTATTGATAACAAGTGGCAGATGCGTCGACTATTACTGGACCTTATTCATTTCGAGCATAACCACACTGCAATATCTATTAAAGAAAAGCTTTATGACCTCTGTGATTCTATGAATATTAGTAATAAGATAATCGCACTCACTACCGATAACCACTCTGCAATGGTACTGTGTGGAAACTTAATTGAGGAAGAGTGGGATTTACAAAAGTTTTGCCACCATCGCTACTCGGCCCATGCCCTTAATTTAGCTGTAAACCATGGAATGCAACTTAAAACCTCAGTAATTGGAAAAGTTCAGAATTTCATAAACAAGATTAGACACTCAACTGTTTTATGCGATGCACTTCGTCAATTTTGTGAGATTAATAAAAAAAGTTATATCAAACCAATTGCTGATATAAGAACTCGTTGGAATAGTACCTACAACATGCTTGATAGATTCAAAAAAATGTGTAATGAGTTAAGTTTACTTGTAACCGCCTATAAAAAACAACTAGAAAATGATTATCTTAATGATGAGGAATGAGAAGTGGTAGATAATATGGTTGAATTGTTAGAACCTATGCTCGTCGCAACAGAATTACTATCATCAAGCTCATATCCAGCTATCTCTAATATCTGTTTAACCTTTTTAGAACTTCTTCTCCATCTTAATAAATTTTTAGATAACGAATCATACTTGACAGAGCAGTATATGATGGCAGATTCTATTAAGTCTAAGTTAAATGAATACTGGTCTATGCTTGAAGAATCAACTACAATTGCAACAATTCTTGACCCCTCATTCAAGCTTAGGACTTTTTCCGCTAGTGATAAAGATGCTGCTCTTGCTAGTCTACGAAGCACAATGACTCACTATAAATCACAAGTCCCAGCAACAACAACTACATCCACTTCTACCTCTATCTCTAAACTGCCATCTAAAAATAAAAAAAAATTTTTTGAATCATTATTAACACAACAGCAAACAATTGAGCAACCTTTGATGGAGGAACTAGAGCATTATCTGTCCATACCTACGACCATTAAAAATAATTCTTTATTATGGTGGGCTGAAAATGAACTCAAGTTCCCAACATTTGCAAAAATGGCATGTAACTTTCTTGCGATCCAAGGAACAAGTGTTCCTTGTGAGGAGGCCTTCTCTACTGTGGCAGGAACACTCACAAAAGTTCGTAACCGCCTTGATCCTCAAACTGCCTGTGCGTCACTATGCCTAAAAAGTTGGATAGAGCAAAGTGTTGGCATGTAAAACTAAAATAAATAGCAAATTTATTAAGATTAATAATTGATAAAGAAGTATTTTTGGGAAAGTTTTTTTTTTCTTTTTTAGTATCTTAGATATTATATAGATTTTAGCTTAGCGTTAGTCATATAATTATATGGTAAATATAAAACTTAGTATAGATGATTTGGTATGAATTTTTGATTGTTATAACTATTAAATCTTACAATAAATATTATTTAGAATAAAAAATATCCATACAAGTGTAAAAAGTCTTATAACTAGCAAAGTTACTCTTAAAGATCCTAAACGAAAATTTTGAAAAGAAATGTAGAAATGAGCTAACCATTACACATTTATGCTTTATTGTGTAACAAAGCTACCTCAAGACTTACATACCGTTACGCTCATAGGAAACGATTGGTTAATTTGTAGATCTACCCATGATTTCCCGTGATAATTAACCAATCAAATACAGTATATAGTTTTTAATTAATATTACAGTATTACAGTATTAGAAAGCGAAAGAAACTTAGTATAAAGAAGCTTACAAACTAATAAATACACGCGAAAGAATTTATTATTTATATGTAGAGAATAGATAGATACGCGTAAAGTGAATAAATATAGTATTTATTACTAATAAACTAAACTATTAAAGAATCTACCATATAAGATATACTGTAAATTAAAACTTTAACTAATAATTTACGGTTGACAAACTCAAACACACTACAAAAACCGACCAAATTTAAATATTAAACCCGGATCCTCTTTGCTATAGAGCTTGTATCTATTGAAATTAAACAGTTGGAAATAAAAGTTTATTTAAATCTAATGTAATAAAATAGTTTTAGACGAAAACGTTTCTGGTTACCTTCACTTTACATTATAATTTGAAATGGTCCAATAAGCGGTAGGCATATTTTGCCTTCTAAATAAAGTTCGTGGGATATTGATTATTACTGATTATTTTTGCATAGTGAATATAGAGTTTATTGAAGTGAAAAATGGCTTTCGTGGTGATTTTTTGTTAGTGAAACATTGTATTCCCAAAAAGTACTTTAAAGTGTATAAATAAGTTACCCGGGCATTGATTTACATTAGCCAATCAGACAAAAGTCCTTCTATGACCATTACGCATAAATTCAGGTCACAAATTCAAAAATTGAAGTTCTTATAATGCAAATGAAACATTTGGCAAGATCATTAGAATATTATAAAATTTACAGATACTACAGAAAAGGGGTTGTAAGGACTTTAAATTGCATGGAAAGGTGGTAAGTTAACAGTTGCTCTTATTATCTTAAGTTTGATATTGAGTTATGCTTGTTTTAAAAACATGCGATGATTTGAATATACTGTAGACTTTGCATATTCATATCATAAACTTCACATGTCTTAAAATGTTTTTTTTAAATAATGATTTTTTATTAGTAAGGTAATTATTAATGAGACAATTATTATTATTATTTGAACTATTTATTAATATACATACTTAAATTCATTATAATTACAGCGATTACGAAGAGTTGATTCTATAGGTCACAAAAGGTAAATAAGCAATTTATAATTTAAGCATATTAAATAATAATTATATTTAACAAATACTCTTTTACAGTAATGCAAATAATAGATATCAATGGATATTAAATATGATTTTACAATATGCTGATGATGAAACATTGCAAGAATATCTAAAATCAAATTTTAAAAGATTATAATGAAAAGATAAGCTACGAATTGCTAAAGAATATAGTACATAATAAGATATTGTAAGTACTATATATATTTTACTAGATTTTGTACTTTTAATTCACTATTATTCTAATAATTTAGTATTTAAAGAATATCTTAATTCATCAGAAGCAATATAATATTGCAGTTTTTGAACTGTCAATGCAGATAAGTGAGGTATAAATGATTACAAATTCAATATTTTGAGAATGCTGTTTATAAAACCACAATACTTTGCTATCTCTAGATATAAAAAAATCCAAATTTTATGATTATATAAATAAAAGCTTAAACTATTATAAAGGTTAATTACTATTCAAGATTCTATAAATTGTAAAATGTAAATGAGCAATTTATAACTTTTAAGCATGTTAAATAGTAATTATATTCTAATACAAATAATTATAATATATAGTGCTTGGCACAATTAAACAAAAATTTGACAATCAAATACTTGTGACTAAATCGGATATCAAACGATTGCAGGTTAACCAAAACTGAATATATAGTATTGGTTGATTTGTGATCTTTGATGTTCGACTAAATTACAAGTATTTGACTATCAAATTTTTGTTTGATTTTGTCAAGCACTAATAATATAATTTTACAATATGCTAAAAATAAAATAATGTAAGAATATGTAAAATTAAAATTTGCAAGATTAAAATAGACAGATAAGTTATGAATTGCTAAAGGAATAGCGCTAAAGTTCTGTTTTATAGTACAGAATATTATTCAAATTTTGTAAGTATTATGTATATTTTATATTTGTTAATTGCTATTACTTTAATAATTTAGTATTTAAAAAATATTTTAATTTATCAAAGTCAACTAGTATTTAAATTATTAATATATACAAATAAATATAAAATATTTACAATTACAAATTTAGCATTCTTGGAGTGTTTGTTTATATAATTATTGGTTGCAAAACTAATTTATTTTTGCTTAAGCAACACAAAATTATTTTTTGGAATTTTATAAATCATGGCTTTTAGCTATAGCTTAAACTGTGGCTCAAGCCATAGTTCGAAGCTATGGCTTTATGATATTTTTATTATACAATATTAATATTTCAAGCCAGCTAGCCTGGCTTTAAATGGCTTGGCTGCAAAACTATGACTAAGCCAGCTTTAAACAAGCTATTAACATTCCTAGTGTCTATATTATTTAAGCTTTTTAGAAGCACAACTGCTTGTCTTGCTATGAGTGTACTAGTGAGTGATCGAAACCCTAGCATGCTGTTATGCAATATAATATTGTTTGGACATGTTTGAGCTATTCCTAACTTTCTTTTAAACAAACATAGCATTGGTTGATGGATTGCTACAACTTCTTTCTCTGCAAGTAGAACGACCTGTAAAATATACTCTAATTTGGGTATTAATACTTGGTTGTTTAT